CAGATCATGGATCAGATCGCGGCCATGACGGAACAGCTACAGGCTCTTCAATCCCTTCTCCAATCCCCGGAGTTGCAGGCGCAGGAAGAACAGATGGAAGAGGACATTGCGGCGTCCTCCCTTTTTGAAGATGATGGGTTCCCCGGTCAGCCTTGACTAGGGACTCATCGCGCAGATATGAATGGAGGCTCCTTTCCTCAGGAGCTGGTATCTCGTATTTTGTATCGTATTTTCTCCTTGGTTGGAGGTATGACAAGTGAGGTCTTCCTTGGAACTTGGAATCTCAACAGCCTCTCGGACAAGCTCAATATGGTTCTCAGTATGGGGTTCTCCATCCTCGCTTTGCAAGAAACCCGTATTGACTCTCGCAAAGCTCAATTGTTCGCTAACTCGGCCGACTCTTCAGGTTACCAACTCCTGTTTGGCAAGTGCCCGGTTTGGAAAAAGAAAGGCTGCGGCAAAGTTGGTCTGCATCACAAGCAGTGCCCTGGAGTGGCGGTCGCCATCAAGAAGGAGATTCCGGCCCACAAGGATGGAGTACTGGCACGAGCAGGGAAGATTCCTGGCTGTCAACTTCTTCGACGGTACCACTTGGAGGACGCTTTGAAATGTTTATGCCCCTGATGACCCGCAGAAGAACTTCCAGTTCCTGCGGGACCTCGCCGCCGATGCACAGGAGGTACAACCTCACTCCATTGCTGGAGACTTCAATAGTCCCTTACAGTGGGGGTCGGACATGGACATCCTCTTCGTGGACTTGTATTCCAAATTGACGGACATGCTTGGTCCCGATCCTTACACTTTTCAGAGAGCTCACTCCAAAACAAAGATTGATGACATTATTTGTCACAAAGACGTTCGAATGGAATTCGGTCCTCCAATCACGTTCTTCCCCTACGACAATGGGCACGCCATCATTTCGACCAAGCTCAATTGGAACGCTGAGGTGCATCAGTACTTGCAGATTGAAGGATATCACATCAACGAGCAGTGTGGAAATCACGCCGAAGTGTGGGATGAGTTGCAAGATGAATGGTGTGCGGCTTATGAGAAATTTGATGTGGATATGTGTTGGTCCATCTTCGCCTCAACTATGTTTCGTTTCTGGAACGGCCACACCAACTTCAAGAGAGTCCCAGGTTTGGGAGTGAAAATGCATTGGGAAAACCAGCAGAAAGCGATTTTTCACAGGAAGCTCATCGCGCAATCCAGTGAAGCACAGGAGCACGAAGAGATTCGGGAAGCTCTACTTGAGCTGGGTCAACCCTCACTTGATAAACTACAAGCTTGGAAGCATAGAATGCAACAGCCTGATGACAAATCCCAGAAGAGCAAGTGGATTGGAGACGTTTGCAAATGGGTCAGGGCCCCGACCCGCAAACCCCCCCCTTTTATCAAAACAAATGATAGTTGGACCAAGACCCCTCAAGACACGGTGGATGTCATTCGCGACTTCTTCGCTACGGTCTACCAGCATGATGATCAGATGTCTTGGAATGTGGGCAACGCCAATCACGAAGTCCCTGCAGAAATGTGGAGTGTCAAACACCTCAATCGGATCCTCCGAAACGGGAAAGGTGTCTCCTCGCCGGGACTAGGTGGATGGACCTATGCGCATTTCAAGCAGCTACCGCAGAAGGGCGTAGATTTTCTGCACAGTCTTTTTATGCTCTGCGTTATTTGCGGAAGGGCTCCCAAGCATTGGCTCAATGCTAAGCTTGTGGTTATCCCAAAAGGTGACGCTGGCTTTGATCTCGAAGCCCTGAGGCCCATCACTATTGAAGTTACGGCACTACGTATTTTCCACAAGTGGCTATTGAAATGCGGTGAAATCTCCTTCGACAACCTCCCTGAGAACATCATTGGGGGTGTACCTCGGCGCAGTGGGTATCAAGCATGGCTGCACGCCTCTCTATCCGCTGAGAAATGCCAGAATGAGACGCACCTCTCATTTCATGGTGTCGCAATCGACACTGTCAAGTTCTTCGATTGTATCCCGCATTGGCTCGCTTGTCAAGCCTTATCCGAATGGGGTATGCATCAAGCTGCAGTTGGCACTTGGATTCATTCCATCAGGCACATGAGGAGATTCGTTTCAACCTCCGGCATAGTGGCCAGGTGGCCTGTTCTTGGGACGATCGGGTTGCCTCAGGGCGACCCCATCAGTATGGCTGCTGCTAGCCTTGTGCTGGCGGTTTGGTCAAGAGATCTCCACAGCGCTGTGTACAATTATGTCTATGTGGATGATAGGCTTCTTTTCACGGAAAGTGACTCGAGTGAACTCCAACATGCCTTTGGACGCACTGAAGCTTGGGATACGCTTCATAACTTCCGCACGCAAATTAAGACGTGTCAAATCAGAGATGCGAAGAAATCCACACCGCTTTGCTGGCGGGATGGACAAGTTGTCAAGGAAGTCAAATCGGTCGATTACCTTGGCGTTCCCCTGGCTATTGGGCTCTTCTCCTCTAAAACTTGGTTTGAAAAGAAAATACACAGAGCTATTACCGCGCTGCAACTGCTTGCAAGGGCCAACCAACCTGCGGCCACTACCAATATGATTGTCCGCACGGTCATTATTCCTATGCTTACGTATGCAGGCGCTACACTGAGACCGACTAAGGATCAGCTCAGGCAGCTTCGCACTGCTATTCGTACAGCGGCACACGGGAGCAAGCTTGGGACCTTTTCGGCCCGGATTCTGTTTCAGAAAAACTACTTGCTTATGGACCCTGAGTTTTTCTTTGTTTGGAGAAACCTGCTCTTCTGGAACAATCATGCCTTCAAGAAGCGCGCCTTCAAGGACGCTGTGATTCAGAGCTGGGAGAAGGTCCTTCCCTCTATCAAAAAGATTGGCCCTGTTTCCCAGCTTAAAAAGGATTTGGAATATTTGCAGCTTCATTTGAACGTTGACAACTTGCAAGTTAGCAACAATGAGGGTAGACTGCTTTGGACCTTTGGAAGTGGCGACTGCAAAGTTATGAGCAAGGCTCTTAGTCACTCCTTCCGTAACAAGATTGCCTCAGAGTTGGAACAATGCAACTCCTCTTGCTGGAAGGGGGTCGGCAACCACGATTTCGGCACGACCACTGCGCTTCTTCACTTATTACCTGAAGGGCACCCGGTGCAACAAAAGCTCATCCGAGTGCTGATCAACGGGATTAATTCCTTCCACACGCAATTTGTCAAGAAGTTCACTGATACTCCAGAGTGCAGAGAATGTAGACACCATGATGCTACTATGGCGCACCTGTTTTGGGAATGCCCTTTCTGGGCCGATCTGCGCAGTCAATGGGATGAAGGTTGGGAATCCTGGTCTCGGTGGAGCCCCTGTTCTCAACACCTTCTTGTGTTCTGTAAAGACCTCCCCCCCAGGCTTCAGGCTAAATGGGGTACTATTCAACGACAAGCGGTTGATCTCCTGGGTAAGTGGGAAGCTCGTCACCGCGATCTCCGTGCAATTGATTACAATATTCAGCTTGATCATGCTCCGGTACAGTCTGATCGTGCTGATCAACAGCACGCTCAGCCGGAAGATATCTATTTGCTCAGCTCCCCCTTTCACAGCCACGTTGTATTTAAGAGGGGACAATTCTTGACTATCGACCCTGACATGATGGCGGTCAAAGCCAACCTATGGTATTGGGGTGGTTGTATTGAAGACTTCCACCTTCTTCGGGGTATGCTTGACTGGTGCATATTTGACAAAGGCAAAGCCGGAGCCCTCTCGAGGAGGCATACTTGGATTGAGGCCTTGCTGCTCTTCATCTTTATTGCAGGGGACAAAGCGCCCTTCCTGCGTAAGATCAAGACTGCTCGCGAGGCCCAGTGGAAGATCCGGATGTTATGTATGGGTATTCTCAAAATGCAAGGGATTCCAATTGATGCTGAAACCGAGCCGGACATGTTGGAGCTGTGTCAATCTTGGCCTCCGCTGCCGACGTTGCCCTTCGGGCTGATGCTTCCACGGCACGACGGCATCAACATTGGACTGAAAGTTCTGGTCAACTTGAATGAGGAATACCTTATGCTGGGTAAACCGCTGCGCAAGCTGTACGTCACAATGGATCAGGTTGGGACATCTATCTCTTGTTGGAGGTATTCGCCTGTCTTTGCCTCCCTGGTGGTACGGACTCGTCTGAATGATAAGAAAGCGGGCCCTGTTCTTCCCGGCTTGAACCAGGTCCCTGACCGCCCTTGCGTCGACTTTGATGCCCTGACTTCAGTACCGGAGCGTATTGATGCCTGCAAGGTTCTCTTGAGAGAGTTTCTCCTTGAGAAGGTGCCTCTCGACTTCTTGTCGGGGTTGGACGCCGAGCAACTGCGTGAAGCTCTCGGCAACTCCTCTGTGCGTAGACTTCGGTTTTGTATTGGTCGAAGGAAACATCTTATGACCGGGTGGGCTAGTCGCCTGGCTGGTGCCCCCGGGCTTTCCCACTGTTATTGCGGCGACTGGGACCCTTGCGAGCCGCGTTGCGTGCTCTGTGGTTTCACGGTCCCTTGGACAAGGCTCGGCAGGCTTCGCCGGATGTCCCCGTGCAAAGTACAATATTCTGAGCTTATTCTGCCTTCGGCCTGCGAGGCAAGAGTCGCTGAACTTTCTTCGCAGGTCGGCATCCTCGTGGCCCTTCTTTCGCTTTTAGGGTTCACTCCGTGACTCCCAGGCAATGCCCTGGAGGATAGACAGCGCCGCTACCGCCAGCCACAATCAATACCCCGGTAGATGAAGATTAGTAAGGGATCCTTCTTAATTCTTTACATGGTTCTGGGCAGACCATTTTGATACCGGGTTTTGATTATGACTCAACTGTTGTTTTCTCGGCAGAAAAAGGTGGTTTTCCTAAACCAGCCCCTCAGTCCCCCGAAAAGCCAGCAAAAAGAAATCTCAATTTCAGCTTGACCAACCCACGTTCAGGCCTCAAGAAGGTTTCCCCGCACAAAACGCCGGGCAAAACGAGATCCGAAGGGAAAACAACGCGGAAGATTTTTCGAGTCTCCAGGCCAGCTGTGTCACTTCACGGAGAACCACGACGAGGACCGCGCCGCTTTCCACTTTGAGGGGAAAGCCATGGCTGCCGCCCTGGCAGGGGCCCCAGGGGCCCGAGCTTTGGCGTCGCAGGGGGAGCGAGCGGAGGCCCCAACAAAAAGGGGCGATGCCTTCTTGGAATTCCTCCTGGATCGCCAGTTGCGATGGTTTTTTCCATCCACTTTACCCCCAAAACCAGCAGTGACTGAAAAAAAGCAGCAACTTGGCTATCTAGGCTCTTTTTTTTGCCACCCCTTTGAAAGGCCGAGCCTCAACAAGACCCAAAGTTCAGAGGGTCTGAGGTGGAACTGGTGTCATTATGTCGACGGTTTCTGGGGGTTATCCAAGTCGGAAAATGGGGTTGCTTCCCTTTAACCCACCACTTGGGGGGTGACTTTGACAACGGTAAAATCATGAGGCCAGTGGAATTCCTCCTTTTCTCGGCCACCCCGAAAAAGGCCGCCGAGCCTCAACAAGAAGACACCCAAAGCTCACTTGGTTTGCATGGGTTTCCTTGCAACTGAGGGGGCCTCCCTTTTGGTCAGGAGTTCGGTGATTGTGTTTTTGTGTTTTTGTGTTTGTGGTTTGTGCGTTTTAGGAACAGCCTGTGTTTGTTTTAGAAACCAGCCTGTGTTCAACCCGTTTCAAGTGACTGTCCCGATGCTTAGTGGCACCCTCATCCCTTTTGGTTAGGTCCTTGTGGTTGAATTTCCCCCCTGTAACGACAGAGTGACTGGTTGCAGGGGGGGGGGGTCAGAAGGATGCCCAAGTATGGCATCGCAGGTCAGGTGGGTAGGTATAACAGCGATTGCTTTGTGAGCGTAGGCGTGCGGTGCATGGGCAATTTGGTTGCTTATGCTCATGCGAGATTGGCTGAATCATTCTGCAACTCGGAGGGCGAATCAGTACATCACACAGACTATCATCACTAGCATGACAGCTGTGACAATATATTTCTCCATGGGTTCGCTGCATGATTCCAAGTGTGAAACTGTCTAGACCTTTATCTTGCAGAGCTCCAAAATTCATTTTGGTTGCTTTCGGCAGGGGACCCTACGCTTCCAACCACGAACCTGGTTTTTGACCTCCATGTGGGGCCTATGGGTCCAAGTTCCGGGCGGTTTGGTGGAAACCAGGGCCCCTTTGAAGCGACGTAGCTGTAGGGGTCCGGGGGCTTAGCCCGACCATCGGGCGTCGCGTCGAATCATTCCCGAGGCGTCCCTCACCCTGCCAGGGCCCCGCATGGTCATGTGGGGCCAGGCGCGGAAAGGTTCTCGCGCGGGGTTGGCCCATCTTCGCTTGGCTCCCTGCCGTCCCCCCGGGTTTTCAGCTTTTTAGCGGTTAAGTGAGAGTTCAGCTTGTAGTAGGGGATCTGAGGACAGCCCAGTTCAAACATGTTCTGCCAAACCACGACAGGAAAACAGAAACTAGGATAAGAAACTACAAAACCACTCGAAGAGGGGCCCGTTGTTTAGCCATGTTGGTTGCTCTCAAAGTTGTAGGGACACCTCCCGACAACAAGCTGGTCCAAAGAGGACAAAGGGATACCATTTATGATGTCCCGAATGGCTGTTTCAAGAGAAAATGTCCGAAGAAAGGCAGGTCCAATTGGCGATCAAGAGATCCAAGACATCACCTTTGTGTCGCAGCAATGCAGATCCTGGAGGGAAGTCCTTCGACATGGAGACCCCTTTCATCACCATGGGGCATGGGCATGGGCATTCATGCTCAACACCCGAAAATATAAAGCCTGGCCGCCTGGCCACAGGAGAACGATCCATTTTGGGGTTCCATGAGGCGGATGTAAATCAGCCTTAGTCGTTTGACCTTCTAGAGTCTCCTTTGGTGCATTTTGCTTGGATGTTAGGACTTTAACTGGTTGCCAACTAATGGGTTTTCCATTAAACCACTAAAGGTTAACCTTTTAGCAGGGGAGTAGATTTCGCACCCGAGTCTCTTGAGGGTGACAGGGTACTGATCTCTTGTGCTCGCCATCGGCTTGGGGGAGGCCATGTGAACTTCGCTGAGCGGGGCAACTTAAGAAAGGGAAGCATAGGGCAAGCACAAAACCCTCAATTATTGTCTTTCTTTTTTTTTGGTTGGGGGGCGGATTTCCATTCTGGTCCATATTCAGTCTACCCCCACAAAAAGACACAAGAATTCAAGATTTTGCTGAGCCGATTTCGAGATTGTTCGTTTTGGGTCATAGGTGTTTAGTCCTGCGAGGTAGACGCCACAGGCCTTTTGAGGGTTTGAGGCTCGGCACTTGGTGTTTTTTCTTCGTGAGGCGCAGGGCTTTAAGGCCCGCTTGGCCGTCCATTTGCGGCGCGCAAGCAAGGAGGCCGCAAGGGCCAGGGCGATGGCCCTGGGGTTGTGGCTGGCTCGTCGTGCTCTTTTGGGTTGAAACCTTCCGGTTGTTTGGTATTTTGTGGGAAGCCAGAAGCAAGACTTTGCCATTTTGTGGGGGAACCCCCTATTTTGAGAAGCACCTATGTTTCATAGCCAAAGGTTGGGGGCGCCTTTCGAAGTTCGGCGCTTATGTTTGTTTGCCGCTTCGGGGTTGGGTTTCCCCGTAAACCACCAGTCTAAATTGCAAGTTTCGGGATGAATGGGAAACTTTGGCGGCTCCCTCAAGATCCCAAGACCCAAGAGGGCATTCCTTTTTGATGGGATCCTTGGTGGGTGGCGCTTGCGTGATCACATGTTTCGCCATTTTTTATGCCAGGAAGGCTGGGCTGGTATATTTCTCAAGAGACTCTTTCCATCGACTTCTTGTCGATCCGCGGCAATTCGACGGGGGTGCGATTGGTAGGGAATACCCCAGGGAGTTGGGAATGAACCGTTTCGGGATTGCCTTGCAAGGAAACCAGAGGGGTAATTCCCTCATTGCAAGTAAAGAGTGGTGTCCTGTTGGATTCCCCTTGGAACAGAAAAACACACCATGTTGTTATCATAGAAGTCCACCAGTATATGTCAAACAATTAGAACATTCATGTTTTAAAAATAGCGCATTTCTAAGTTATATTATTGTGCTGTGTAACACTTTATTAACATAAATATTTACGTTTATTAACACATGGGTTGAGAGCTAGCCAACAAGTGTCATTTGTTGTGTTTGAATTGTTGTTCGACAGGGTCCAGTGTGGTTTGCGAGGGTGGCTTCAATTCAATGGTCCCCCAGCTAGGTGCCCTTCTACCCCTTTTTTGGGGTTGGGTGGGTGGGTGGGTGGGTGGGTGGGTGGGTGGGTGGGTGGGTGGGTGGGTGGGTGGGTGGGTGGGTGGGTGGGTGGGTGGGTGGGTGGGTGGGTGGGTGGGTGGGTGGGTGGGTGGGTGGGTGGGTGGGTGGGTGGGTGGGTGGGTGGGTGGGTGGGTGGGTGGGTGGGTGGGTGGGTGGTGGGTGGGTGGGTGGGTGGGTGGGTGGGTGGGTGGGTGGGTGGGTGGGTGGGTGGGTGGGTGGGTGGGTGGGTGGTGGGTGGGTGGGTGGGTGGGTGGGTGGGTGGGTGGGTGGGTGGGTGGGTGGGTGGGTGGGTGGGTGGGTGGGTGGGTGGGTGGGTGGGTGGGGTTGGGTGGGTTCCCCTACTAAAATAGACTACAGAAAATAAAGGTTGGTACCCTTATTCTAACCTCTCAAATCTGGAGGACCTAGTCAGGGTAGCCTGGAAGAAGCTAGCTGTTGGTTGGAAGGCAGCCTTGTTCCAGGCCCCAGACGCCGCCATCGCCCAAGCCATGCGCGGCTTGATCGCTGCCTTGCCTAGCTGTCGGGGCCAGTGGAAGGTGCGGCACCGGCGGCGGAGCGGGGCAGTGTGAGGGGTCAGCTGGCTTGGCTTGGTCGTTGGATTGTTTGAAATGGCGTCCATTTGCTGAAGATGTGTTTATTTTCTCTTATTGGTGTTTTTCCGGAATCTATCACTACTGGAAATAGTTGGTTGTTGCTTTTTCCAGGGGGTTAAGCACATGGAAGATGGGCGCGTTTTTGTCAGGGTTTTGTCAGGGTTTGTTAAAAGGGAGGCCTAAACAGTAGATTTGCACGCAAGTAAATGGGGTGCTTCATATCTATTTAGGTTTCGTCATCCGCCTTACTTGCCATGAGGAACCCAGAACAAGACATGGACTTCTTCCGGTCAATCCACGGAAGGGAACCTTTTACCCGCCGTGGATCGGCAAGCCACTGGCCACTTCTGCCGAAATCCGCTTTCGGAAGCACTTGGAGCGATTTGCCATTGGAACCGTTCGGGACCGAAGAGCTGGGCGGAGTGGTTGAACGAATCAGTTCCTTTAGAGGTATATGAAACTGATCCCCTAAAACTGGGAACGGCAAATGGACAATCCGAGCGCCCAAGAACCATCGTTTGTAGCAAAGAAAATGGGACGGTCTATACAGGCCTTGTTTGAGGTACTCCAATTCACCCAGAGTTCTAACCCCAGCTGGTTTGGTCACTCGGAGTTTTGGTGCTCAGGGCCCGCAATCCTTGGGCCGGAGGCCTCAGCCTTGGGACCCCCCATAAGAAAACCGCCATGTGCCGGAGATCAAGAGCTTAATGAGCTCAATTTGCCACCCTGGAAATGATGTTCCAAGGAATCCCTTCTATGCCTATGCACGTAGACAATGGGTATATGCCTCATGGGCAAGTTGTTCCGCTCTTAGATCAAGAGGAAGAACTAGAAATATGTCCCCCTGTGCCAACGCCGTCATTTCCCTTGAGTAACCCGCGAAGGGCGGATTTGTCCCCAGCAACAAAGCCAGGATTCCTCAACCTGGTCATAGGGTATTCCGTTGACCAGGAGCTGCAAATCCGGGGTGATGCTGCCTGGAGGTGAGGGTCGCATTCGCTTGTACTGGGGTTTACGCTGCAGCGTTCACGTGGAACCCCCTTGGGATCTCAGAAAAAACAGCGAGTTCTACGGAGCGCTTTTCAGGAGAGTGTTTTTCATGGAAGCATCAACCTGGCTCTCTTTTGGTCATGGATGGATCCTGAAGATTCGGTGCGGGTTCGTGTTGGTAGGCATGTTGTGGACTGTCAATTCGGTGTTCTTTGTCTCGGAGCCCATTCGGGGTTGGCTGTCTCCAAACGAGGGCACGCAGCCCCTGAGTGGGATTTGGTTTCTCTGATTTCCCGCTCCCAAAAACGCTGCCTTCCAAAGCCTCCCAATGTTCGAAGATCGGAGAAGTGTGGAATCAGGTGGGCAAAGTGTTCTTAGTTGCTTCCAGTTTTCCGCTCTTAGTGGCTAAAATTTGTCCGCTCTTGTTTGGCGCTCTGAGCAGGTGGGCAGGGATGTTTTAGCAACCCGAACCTTGCCCTTTCAAGGCATACCAAGGCAGCTCATGCTGACGTGTTCCTATGCTGTGACTCGGTTTGCCTGGTGGCACTTCAAATGGAAGAATGTGACTCGCTTTTCAACCAGGCCCTTCTTGGGACCTGGTGAAATTCATGTTCATGAGTATTTTGTTCCAGACTACCCTGTCCCAGTCCACCTTGGTTTGAAACCAAAAAGAACCTCCCCATCATTGTTTGACCTATGTCGAGTGGCAAGGTAAGAAGGGATCCCCCTTGTAGCTTGGTGGCTCCCTTGCCTTTTAGTGTGTAGTGGTGGTTTCCATTTAACCCACTCAAAGTGAGACTTTTAGCGGGGGATCTGAGGGCAGCCCAGGAAACAAACCTTGCTGCGCGCCTGCATTCTTTGGCCAGGTTTCTTGCCTGGTCCTGGAAGGCGCAGATGGGATTGTCAGCTTGGACTTGGCCTTATGCTTAATTGACAAGTCAAAGGGAAGCAAACAATAGAATATACATTCTATAACTGGGCCTAATCATGACCAGTGCACATTTTCAATGTAGTATTGCCAAGGTTTATCTCGGATGATCTCAGATTCCCAGTAATTAATGAATTTAGTATTGCCAGGAATCTGCCGCAGAACTTAGTTCAGTAGTGCCAAGTCTTATTTTTGCATTGCAAAGACTTACTCTCAGACTACCATTCCTTATGTCTTGCAATGTAAAAATCTCAAATCTAAGGTTGAGTCTCTTATTGCAAATGGTTACCCTCAGATTTGTCCCTTGTTGCAAAGACTTGTGGGGTAACCCCTTTGTGTGACCGCTTTGCCTTGCTTTTTTTTTGGAGGATTGATACAAACAATGCTGATTTGTGGGCCACTTGTACCGAAGGCCTTTGGCTAGGAAAGGCTTAGATAAGCCAACCTTCGAAAGCAAACGGCCAAGGCATTGATCTGCGAATTGAACTCTCCCCCAATAAGAAGCTTGCCACTAAAGAGGGCCCCAAAACAGTCAAAGATTGAAGAGCATCCAAGGCTCTTTCAAAAGGCACCCCCTTTGTGCAACTGTCTGGACTTACTTGTTTTCAATTATAATTACCATCATTACTATTATTGTTACTGTAATCATTCTTCCTACCCAGAATTAGCTCCCCTTTTTCCTTTTTTGCTTTCTTGGGGTCCCTTTGTTTTCCACAAACCAGGCAAAACATATGTTTTTTGCTGGGGTCCTAATTCCGGCCTAGTCGTATTGTTGTTAAGTGTTTGTTACTTTAAGGGATTTATAGTGTAAACATGATGGTTTGGGGATCACTTACAAAGCCATAATTTCAAGCCCCAAGGCCTGTAGCCTTTGAGCTTGGATGGTGTTTAGCCTTGAAAGTAAGGCATTTCTTGCTGGTGCGATAGGCAGGGAATGAGGGAATGGCCCTTATAAACCATCCCTTGTGTTTTCCTTAAGGAAAACCCCGGGGTGCATTCCCACATTCCAGCAAGCGTCATGTTTTTTTTGTTTTTTTATTCAAAGCGAATCGACCTTTGTAATTTGATCTACTCATTTTGGTGCCCACTCTTAGTCATGGGCCCAAAACCCAGAAGGTTAACGGTTTATTTCTGGGTACTTTGGGCAAGTGAGTTGTTGTTGTTGCCCAGATGTCCCTTCGGGAAACGACTTTGCATAGCGAACCCCAAAGCAGTCAGGAGTGTGAATTAGTATCAGCAGTTTCTGCTTTGGCGCCGCCGATTAGCGAATGGGTCCAACATATTGTCAGTTTGGTTGAAAGTAGACTGTTGCCTTTGCCGGAAGTCACCTGTTCACAAGAACCAACCTTTCATGGGTTGATGGTATTAAAACCGAGCTTTCCTAGGTAACATACGAATTTGTTTGACATCATGGCCAGAAACGCGAGAGTCATTGGAGTAGAAGGTGCAAGTAGCTGCGACTTCTGGCTGTGTAGCTGGTCTCTGTCCTCAAAACAACCGAACCTTTGGCAGGGGTCTGCAAAGTTGGGCAAATCCACTGGGATGATTTTGGGATATGTTCTATATTTTGAGGCTCTTTCATTACAGACTCGCATCTGAAATCATTAGTTTCAGTTGGGGCAAAGCTGTGGAAGAATTGAATGTTCATTTGGCAGAAATCCGAGCGTGTTGTGACATTCGACGGGCAAGTTTCCCGTTAATTCCAGGCAGCCTTTCCAAGCAGATTGGCGGAAAGAGTGTTTTTTGTTTCTCTGTCTCTCTCTATGTTCTTGGATGTTGACTGATACTTTTCGGAAAAGTTCTAAAGGCAAACAGTTAAGCAGCCCGTTTTACGGCCAATCTACTCGGCCAATCCGCTCAGCAAGTCAACTACTTAGGTGTTCAGGCTGCTTAGAAGTAGGTTTTAACCGTGGTTATAAGGGGATCAACCCAGTTACCCCACTTATAATCGTGGTTATAACCTTCTTGCTAAGTTAGTACTAAGTTGGCTGAACATCCTTTGGGGCCCATGCCATCGATCGCATGATCGTTTGTCGCCAGGGTGCTGCAGATGTGGCGGCATCAGTGGTTGTTGTGCCGCTCGGCCGCCAGCTTCGCCGCATCTTGACGTAGATGGGACCCGCAAAAATGGGGTCCTTGTCTATATCCGCCCATGTCGCATGCAATCCGACGGGGAACCTCAAAAATGGTTTCTGATTAGGGTCCCTGCCAGGTTCCATGTTAATTGGGTATAAATAATATTTATCCACCCAATTAACATGGAACCCGACGGGGACCGGGTCCACAATGGTCCAAACCAGGGGTGATTTAGACGGACTGTTCAAATTTGTTGTTGAGTCCGGTTTCCCTTGTGGTTTACCACTACAGATTGGGATTGTGGATCTACCGTTTTGAAGAGCCCGGTTCAGATGTTTTGGCTGGAAGGCTGGGTAAACAGCATTCCAGGGCGCCTGTTGGTTTCTTTCATTGTTTTGTAGTTGTTGCAGTTGAACTCAACTGGACATGGTGATGACTAGTGAAGTTGCATTGGTTTTTCTTCCCGGTCATAAGGAGACATGGCTAAGAGCCTCAGTTGGATGTTCGGAGCTCAAAACTGAGGGTCTGCTGTGTTCTGGTGCTTGGTGTTGAACCTCCCAACCACTTAGCACCTGATGTCTGGCATTTGCCAGGCTCTTGCCGTAATTTCGGTGCAAAAATTCCGTCCAGCCGAGTTAGCGGTACACAGTGGATACCCTAAATATTGCGCGTGCAGGGGGGGGTGGGGGGTGGGGTTCCCCCCCTCTAATTCACCGTTATTGCTAGGGCTTTTTCTGGTTGAGTATTGTTGAGACCCGATGGCTCTCACGTTTTTTGTTTTTTTTTTGTGTGTTTTTGACCGGGAAGTTTGGTGGTAGGCGATCGGTTCGCTTAGATTCCATTTGCTGAAATGAGTATGTTTTATTGCCCCCTGTTTGTTTAAAAGGAGAACTATCACTACTGGAAATAATGTTATGTTTTCCAGGCGACTTAAGCCAACGGAGGTTAGGGAGTCTGCCCGGTTGGTGCCTAGGAACTATTCTGATGAAGAGGCATGGGCAAACGTCGAGCTGCCTGACTGCATGGAATCGATGCTTGAGAATACGGCGCATTCATAGCATAATTGTGTTATTGGTGGGAGAGTTTGGGTAGAAATAGGTGGGTTCGACTCCAGTTTTACGCCATCCGTTTAGGGAAACCTATCTATGTTCCCAAAGGGAGGCCTATGCATAGGAGTTTGTCACGCTCTGTCTAAATGGGCAAACCCGGGAAGCCCGTTGGCTTCCCTTTTAAGACCTCACGTGACAAAGGGTGCCCTTAAAGAAGGAGACCCTCATACCAAGAGAGGCCCCAGAGTAAAATGTGTTGAACTGCCGGCCTCAACTGCTTACTGTCATAGCCTTTCTGCAAAGACGCGTCCTGGAAGGCTAATTCCCGCTGTTGGCATCCTGCATTGTGCGTATTTGCAGGTTTTTGCGCGTTGCCTCCCACAAATGTATGTGGCATATGTGGAAAGCAGTGTGCCCCGCGGGTCACGGCCTCGCCAGCGCACGTGGTTTTCGGCTCGCAGGCGCACGTAAATTTGGTCTCGCCCGCGCATGTAGAGGGCTGGGTTTCGTAGTTGGCGCGGTACTTTGGGCAAGTTTTCGTGGGTCTTGCCCGCGCATGTGATACTCGCGCATGTCCCCCAAAAACGCAAACACGTGAGTCTCGCACGCGCATGTAAGCAAAAACGCACTAGTATTGCACGCGCGTGTAAGCCTTTCATCCATGCTTGATCCCATCCAGGGATGCATGGGGCGGTTGCGTCTTGCTCTGGGCCTCGTGCTTCTTCTTCATGCCGCTGGCTTTTCTGCGTACTTTGGAAAGGAAGCGGTCACAGGGACGCTCTACGCGTGTAGAGTCACGCGTGCTTGGAAGTGAGCGACTACAGGGACGCTCTTCGCACGTCAACGCGAAGCGACCAGACGTTCTTGCCACACGAGTCGCGGCACACAGGCGTAGCGCAGCTCAAGTGAACGCGCGCTTTGCCTGCCATGATGAGCGACCTCAGCGCGGTGGCTCCGATCACATCCAAGGATGCACGCACGCAGGAGGCTTTAGCAGGTGCGCTGCCTATTTCGCGTGCGTGGATACACTGCTGAGCGGGTGCACTTGAGCGGGTGTGCTTACCAGCCCCCCCTACCCCCCCCGAACCCCACCCCCCCGCTACCCTGCCCAGGTCCTTCCTGGAGCCGGATTTTGTGGCGTTGGGGCGCTCAGGTGGTCCTGTGAGACCCGAGCCGCTGCGTGCTCCGACGCTCCAAAAGCTGCGCCTGCGCGCGAAATTGGCACGCACATGCTGGTGAAGCGACCTGCAAGAGTGCAGTTGAAGCCAGGTCCCACGTGGGTTGTGGAGCTGGATTGCGTGGCAGGCGCGCTCTTTTGAGTGATTTGGAGCGCTCACGTGCTCCTGTGAGACCCGAGCCGCCGCGTGCTCCGACGCTTCAAAAGCTGCGCCCGCGCGCTAAATTAGCTCACGCATGCTTGCAAAAAGCGACTTGCAAGAGTGCAGTTGAAGCCAGGTCCCGCGTAGGTTGTGGAGCTGGATTTCGTGGCAGGCGCGCTCTTTTGAGTGATTTGGAGCGCTCACGTGCTTCTGTGAGACCCGAACCGCTGCATGCTCCGACGCTTCAAAAGCTGCGCCCGCGCGCTAAATTAGCTCATGCGTGCTTGCAAAAACCGACTTGCAAGAGTGCGCTTGAAGCCAGGTCCCGCGTGGGTTTTGGCTGGATTTCGTGGCAGGCATTATTTTGAGTGGTTTGGAGCACTCATGTGCTTCTGTGAGACCCGAACCGCTGCATGCTCCGACGCTGCAAAAGCTGCGCCCGCGCGCCAAACTAGCGCGCATGCTTGTAAAGCAACCTGCGAGAGCGCAGTTTTGGGGTTGGACTTCTTGGCAGGCGCAGTACTTTGAGCGACCGCATGCTCCTATGAGACCAGAATCGGCTGGAGTGGCCACGTGTGCCGGTGAGACCGAAACCACGTGCTCACATGAGGCCCCAACCTGCCCCGCGTGTGCTTGGTTCCATGTTTCAAGTGCCCAAAATAGCCCTACGCCCTACGCTGTCAGCTAATGATGTGTGTTAGAATCCTTTTTCGTCGCGTCCTCCAGCGACATTTCGGTGGACAGATGTTTGTTTCTGTCTCTTCTTACCTTTGGGGACCACCGATAAGCCTAAGACCAAAGAGGGAGATTTGCGGGTTGGGATTTGCAGTGTCTTGCGTCGGTTTGGGCCAGGGCTCAGGGACGTTCAAAGTTGGCTCAGGTTGACTTTCGGGGTGGGAAGTTCGTGCCTTATGTAGGGTCGTTGCCCTGAGGCCGGTTTAGGCTGCTAGCCAGTGACATCGAAGTTGGATCTTGAAGCTTCAAGCGCCCATTCCTTAAGACGATTTACACTGACTGCTTGCCACAGGAGCCAGCCATGAAATCTAACTGAGCTTGCAGTGTGTGCGGGGATTTTTACGGTGCGCAGGACACAGTGTGACGCAGAATTGCATTGAGGGCCCAGTGGCAATGCATCCCGCAAACGGAGCACTGTAAAGCAGCGACTCTCAATCTGCTGGACGGCGTGCGGCAGGTTGCCCTGGATTACACACGGGATCGACTTGGCTGGAAGCAATGGGGGCCACACTGATGACACCAGTACATGTCCTGACATCCAAAGTTCGCAGCGCGGCCGCAAAGTCGTGCAAGATGATCCCTTTCACGCTAAAGCTTAAAGATCGTGTCATGGACGAGCAGAAGATTGGCGAATGGCTCACGAAGCTGAAGCAGAATGAACAGTTGCCAGGAAGAGGCGCACGAGGCCGCTGGAACGAAGCCAAGACGCAGGCCAGCTCTGGTGTTCTTGCATGTTTTGCCACGTGTCACTGGTGAGTGGCTCCCCGCTTGCCTGCCTACCATTTTAGTGGTTGTTTCGATAGGCAAACCTAAGAAGGTTGAATCCCCATTCTTTTCAATCATCGTTGTGTGTCCCCGTCCTGTTTTTTTGGCTGATTTTTGAACAATAAGGATGCCTTAAAAGACCATAAAGAAGCTTATTACGTGCGGTTTTCCCTTCAACCGCAAAAGGGTACCCAGAATCAAAGCACACACACACACGGGGGATCACACAAACGCACACAGACGCAGGGACGGAAGTTCGCTGCCCACAGGGCCGCGAAATGGCCTTGAAGCAAGGGATGAATACCATCAATTCGCATCACCGAACTTGTAAAACATCAAGAAACAGGACTCGCATATTGCCATAGAAGCACCGTGTTTTCCAAAACCTGGCGAGATCTTTCTAAGTGGGCTCAGCATGCGTGGGCAGCATTTTTCCACTAGATTCAGCACGTTCACCTTGAGGCTTGGAGGACTGTTCGAGGGCAAGGGCGACACGTTGTGCATGGCAGACGCCCTCACTGGAGAGGTCGGTTTTTTTGTGAGGGGCGGAATTGGGTCTGCTTGAAGCTTGGGTGAGCCAATACGACCTAGTGGCAGTGGTGATTGGTGACTAGCGACTTCCAGTGACGTGCTTTTCGGGTCATGAAGGACCAGTAATCAAGGGCCATTTTCCTCGGGGAGCCATGTCCTTGCAGTGCCGTACCTTTTTTTTGTTTGCGTCCACGAAATGGAGTTCTCCCCAGCCTGAGATCGGCTGGGTAAATCATCTCTTACTCAATGCGTGGTTGGTGAAATACTCCCTCCGACAATCATGGTCCCTGACAGCATGGTTTGGCAGGACTCGTTTCAGAAGCACGGTCAACTTTGGCATCCATTTGACCAGGGCGGCTTGGATTTCGAGCCTCCGAGATCAGCTCGGGAGTTCCTGACGACCCCCAGGGTTTAGCGGCTTCTCACTGCAAGAAGTTTCTCACCGGCCCAAGGCAATCCATATTTAGCAAGCTTGGAAAGTTCCGGGGGGGGGGGGGGGGGCGAAGTGCGGCTACCCAAATGACTCAATAGCAAGCCATATACCGAAGCTCATGCATGCTCAGTTATGCAAAGATGTCCAAGCAAGGCCAACTTTAGGTCCTATTCGGCAAGCCCATATGCTGACGAAATCGGGTGCACAATTTTCATTTTTTTCTGGGGGGGGGGGGGGGAACTCCCACCTACTGTGAATGAAATTCGCCACCAATCCCAATTGGTACGAAGTTTGCTTTGTCCATCCACAATGAATCCGCAAGGTCTATTAACTTCCATTTGCTTACGAATATGTCCTATTTCCCCTGTAGGTTTTCAAGGGAATCGATCACTACTGGAAATATGTGTTGTTTTCTGGATTAGGTCGATCTCGGCTGATCTCGTACGCGCATTCGCCTAAGCTCCAGGTCTTCGAGAGGAGCTTGGCGGCTCTTGGAGCTGAGGGCCTGGTGGTAGGCTCACAGGGCCGGGCAGATGCAGCGAGTCGACCTTAGAACCTGCCCTCCAATCAATGCAGGCGGACAGCAGGGCTTGGCCTACCCTCCAATCATGGCTGACCGGAGGGTTTTGGAAGACCTGTCTTTTGGGGAAGCCCTCCTCGTCCCCTGTCCACTTCCGTGGACGGAGGGTAGGTTTAAGCAACCTTTGGTTGATGAGAAGGGGGGCGCAACCCATGTAGGAGAGAGAGGGAGAGAGAAATAACACAAACAACGCAATCTTTAATTGTGGGATACCAACAGTCTTGAAAAGACTCCACTTCCATGATTTGCGGGTTGTTGATCTGCTTTCAGTTATCGCCACGTTGGGGGGGGGGGGAGTAACCAATGATCCATCCGAATGTCCAACTTAAGGCACCTACAAGACTAGCTTTTGGAAGGGTCCGGTCTGTCCTCTCCCCCCTCCCAAAACCCGGCACGTTTTTTGGACCAGGAAGAGAGCTTTGTAGATCGTGTGCGTTCATAGTGGTTCCCAAAAGAGGCACAGCCTTGTCTCAGCATGTAAGGCAGAGTTTGAACGTACTGGCTCTCTTCTGGACGGGATTCGAAAGAAAGCCAATCAGGTTTGGGTGTCCTCCATCTTGGAGACACCCAAATGTAACGGGACAGGCCTACTGTTTAAAAACATCCAAGGGTCCCCATGCCTACCCGGAATGAGTCAAATAGATGAGGACGGGGAACCCAACCCCCGGTCCCAAGGGCAAAGCGGTTGCCCCCGGCGGGCGCGAACCACACTAACAAGTTCAAGGGTAGTCCTGTTTAACCACAACGCCCAAACTGTGGCTTGCAGCTTTCCTTCCTGAAATGCCTGCATCCATGTGCGGAGCTTCTTCACCTTTTCAAGATGGAGCTTGGGTTTTCGGCGTCCGCCTCAAGCGGCAGTGCCAGGCTCCTTGCCTCCAAAACCCAAAACACTTCCAGTTGTTCGAGAACATATATATATATATATACATATATATATATATATAATAGTTTCTCCTGTTAGTTTTAAAGGGACTCAGTCACTACTGGAGATATACATATATATATATATGTGTATATTTATACATTCTCAGTTTTCCAGGGGGCGAAAACGCAAATGGCAGCACATGAAGGGCCGTGCGGACGTCCTCCTCCTTCCTTTTGCTCCGGAGCTTTGGAGCTTCGAGGCCCCGGCCCGGAAAAAGATCTCGGCTCCAGTTCTGGGGCTCCCCAGTCCTTCCCCCAGCGAGGTGGGGCGGGCGGCCTCTCTCTCTTCTGCCGTTCCTTTTTTGGGGGGGAGAGGCGGTTCCAAGCTACTGAAATAGACTACAGCGAAGGAACAAAAAAGAGGTACCAACTTATTCTAAGCTCTCAAGTCTGGAGCTAGATTCCATTGGGCGGACCAAACCGCTCTGCACATGATGGGGTTCCTTCAGATGGATTTGGAACCATTCACAGGTGCAGATCTTCGGCTGAATTCGTGGGGCATCACTGCCACAGGTCCGGTTAGAATAAGTTGGTACCCGATTTTTTTCTGTAGTCTATTTTAGTAGGGGAACCGAATCTCCCCCCAAAAAAGGGTTTAAAAAGTTGCCACCCTTTTTGGCCATTCGCCCGAGGGTCATTTTTCGTGTTCAACGCACTTCTGGGCGTGTGCCGCCGTGCATCAAAAAACGGCAGGGTCAAGTCTAGCGGAAGGAGGCCACGAGATTGCGGTTCCCAATTGGAGCAAAGTGAGCTCATGTTTGAGATCCCTTCCTTGGAATCCCCTAAAAAGGGGTTGGAGTTTTTAAGTAGGAGTTGCAGATAGATATGGGTGTGGGTTCTTTAGGGGAACCCCCCCCTCCCAAAGAAGAAACTCTCAACATTTATAGTTTTCCTTTTGGTTACCTTTAAAACCACAAAAGAAGAGGTCACTCAAACCTCAGCTATGCTTCATGGGATTGAACGGTGTCGGGTTTTTCCCAGCCCCCCCATGCCGGCCGCGACTCGCGGGCGATTTCTGCCAGGCCTCAAGCCCTTCCAGTCCCACCTGTTGCTGTGCAACTTCAAGTGATTCGGCGGCCGACTGCAAATCCTTGCCTAAGGAATAATAAACCCGTAGGTTGATGAGGGTGTTGACACCCATTTAAGAGCCGGAGCTGGCAAAGTGCACTTCCTTTACTACACCTTTCGATCCGGAGCTGCCAAAGGGAATCCGGTCGGCGCTTTTGCGCGCAACATGCCCTTTCTTGTTTCAGGTTGATTCACCCGGTGACATCAACTCTTCTTGGAACATCCAACTCTGCCCTCCACTAGCCTAGAGCCTGACTGGTCTAAGCACGTGTTCCTCGAAAAGGGGCGGATATTTTCAAGGGAGCCAAGAAAGGACCAAGCTTGGAAAAATGCGGGGTCTCCAAGCCGGAGATCCAAGGCAAGGGTAGAACAGTGGCATTGGGTTCTTTTCGTTCCTAGGGCCAGAGTTCATCCCTTGTGACACCCCTGTTTGGAGCCCCAGGTCGACATGTCCCAGTGACTCCCCGTTGTTCAATGGCTTCGTTCCCTTCCAACTCTAGATTGAAGTGTGCCCGTTTGAAGCAATGCCACCGTCTAAAAGTGAAGGCTTTCTCCTTGAGGTATCCCAACCGTGTACCAAACAAGCAGAGTTTGGGCTGTTTTGAGGGGGAGAACCCTTCCGCTTTCATTCTTCAAGGGTCCCTATATTTCCCCTTCTGGTGGCTTTCAACCTCACCTTGTGTGAGTTTCCTTGGGTGATGTTTACCGGGCAAATATAGGGAACCCTGTTTTTTGAGGGGACTACGACAAAGTTTCAACCTCAAACCAAGTGGCACAGCGGCCAAGCCGTAGCAGAACAGTAGATTCGGGCATCGGCCAAAATATCCGGTCGGCTAGGCCTATGTGGGGGGACATGAAGTGACAAGGTTCTCGCAAAAGCGGGGACGAGTTGCTTCTCCCCTGTGAACTTGCTTTCGAGATGTGGCCCGCCTGTTGGGCTCGGGAAACGAAAGGAAGCCCCTCCCTTCCCCAATTTTTCCCACGCGAGCAAACTAGAGCGACCTCACAAGTGGCGGGTTTTCAACCACAGAGTTCCTTTCTTATAGGGATCCCCTACTTTTCGGTCCAAAGTCGAGCTCACCTGGTTTTTGTTTTACCCCGCCTTACAATCATGTAGGTTACTTGAGATCCCTTGCAACTTTACTGTCGTGGCAAATATTTTAACCGCTCATATGCCCTCTTAGCTGGCGACGTGCGTAGTTCCGGGCGTTCCGGCGGTGCGTCGGCCGAAAAAGCGCGGACTGGAGTTGCCGGGGTACAAATGAAGTTGAACCCTTTTTGGTTGAACCGATCTGGTTGAACAGGGAAGCCTAAGGGAGACTTCCTTCGATAGTTGGCAAGCGGCAATCTTATGTATCGGCATGCGATTCATCTCAAAATGCAAGGTGTCAGAGAAGGTGTGCGCACTTCTCATTCTGCCTTTTGCTGCTCAAAGGCCATTTTTGACTGACTTCTTCCCTTGTCAAGTGCTGTCATGTACCCTGGTCTATGGGTCTATGGGGTTATCCCGAATCGGTTAACCCATGTAGCCGGGGGCGGTGCTGCGAGAAAGAGAGCATGCGTTTGTGTCATTGATTGAAAGGGAACTTAGGGGAAGCTAACCAGTTTGTTGCGGAAGAGTTTTCGGGGGAGGCGCAGTTGTCGTTGTTTGTTTTGTGTGTGTGTTTTGGGGGGGGTTCCTGAGATGCTGAACAAGGGCACCGAATCACAGCCCACCCGGGACACCCTGCCCCCCGCCCAAAAAAGCAACAACAAGCAAAGAAGAAAAAACACGGTGGGGAGGAATACCACTCTTGAAAGCCTGTATGGATCAATACTCCGAACCTGTGTCATGTTTGGCCTTGGTTAGTAGCCCTCCAACCAAGATGGAAGCTGAGTCCCTGGAAAATTGGTTTCCTTTTGATGTTGGTGGCGTTTCTCAGCCGGGAGAGGGTGTTGCGTGGCAAGGCTGCGGTGGGAAGACAAACAGCTGGAGCCTGTTCGCGTTGGCCCTTGTGGTGTTCTCAATGGGAGACCAAAAAGGCACACAGGCGCAAAAAAGCACGGACAGAGACACAGCCAGCATTGCTTTGGGGGACTTGTTGAAGTTGTTCCAAGAAAACCGGGGTTGGATCCTTTGAGCCAAAGGAGAATCATTTGTGTAGCATCCGAAACGAACCCGTGTGTTACTCATTCAACAAATCCCACGAGCATGACTTCCTATCCATTGGAACCCAAGGTGCAGCTTGCTGAATGATCCATGCGCGGCTCTTGGCTGGTGCTGTGCTAGGGCAAGGGGCTTCGCTGAAGCAGCGGCACCGGCCGGTTTACTGTTTGCTGCGACCATCAGCTTGAAGGGCCAAACTTTGAACTGAGAGTTCATGCCGGCTATTTGATTGGCTTGCCAGGGTCGTCTAGCCAAGGATTGCTCATAACGCCCTTTGTGTTGCGGAGGTGAGCATGTCATTTTTTTTTGCTCGCTTTGGACGACTGACTTTCGGTCGAAGCCCCCTGAATTTGTCTCACCAGGCCAACGCCTCTGTCGCACTGACTGGCGACGCGTCTCCCTGGCTTTCGGGTGCTGAACCATTGGTTTGTTGGCAAACGCTGATTTCACGTCGTAAGGCTTGCTAGCAGCTAGTGTAACACAAGGGTGGCATGCTGTGAGCGAGCGGAGGGCACTAAATAGGGGAAGGCCACGACGAATACAGCAATGTCAGCTTGCCCCGCGTTTTTACTTGCTTTCGTTGTGCGTTCGGGGGAGTTCTTGCCCTGCAGCCAAGAGAGAGAATGGAAGGCCCTCAATTCAACAACCCCGTCTGACGGTGGAACCCTATCATCCAGCACCCTTTTGTCAGCGAGACGCGTCGCGGGTCTTGTCGCGGCCTTTGCACGCCAACGTAAAACTGCACGACGCCATGTCGCGGCCATTTTCTGCACCATGGCGCTCTGCTACGACCGCGAGGTGGAGTGAATGGGGAAAGGAGACATACCCCCTTTCGCCATGGATGGAGGTGGGTCACAATAGGGGGAACCTAAAGTGGCTTTCCCTTTTGAACATGGCTGTGGGTCAAAACCAATGGTACCATTTTGGGGAGGTGCACCACCCCATTCTAGTCTATTCAAGTGAGGATTGGGATGTTCACTGGGGGTACGGGATTTTGACTCATGGCCACATGGGAACAGGACTCACGTTTGGTCGACGGTCCGGTTGCATCAAGTTTAGCCTTCATCAAATAGCCTTAGGGCTTCAAAACAGAAGCCGCCGCAACCCAGAAGGCCAACCAATTGCCTTGCTATCTTTTCAGATGTGGTGCGCCCAGCCACCGGACAGTTCCTCGGGAAGCTAAGGAAACTGGTTTTTTTGTTGGCGTCCCAACCCCACAAAGGGTCCCAAATTTTATTACCAAGTCATTGGCTGCAAGCGGATTGTTTAGGTGGCAAATTCAAACAAAAGGGTGCCCTACCGCAAAGAAACTACGTGCAACCAAAGTTCGCTTCCTGAGTTCCTGAACTTTGCTGGTGCTTGCTGAGCAGGGAATGAGGGGATGATCCCAGAAACCATCCCCAATGGTTTCCTTTAAGGAAATGCCTAGGTTCATTCCCTCATTTCCTGCTGAGCACCAGCAAGTTTGTACCTGTTTGGGGCTGGATCAGTTTAGTGACAAGCAGCAAGTCTAATTGTTGGCCCATCTCAGGAAGTGATTTCAGCCAAGAAATCGCAACTGCAACAAAAAGTCAGCTTCAAGAAGAAGGTCAACCAATCAAAAGATCATCCAAGCAGAAAAATCGCAGAAACGCTTTTGCCACAAGCCGCGACCTACACCCCCTACGTCAAATACCTTCTTTTTGTCGGGTATGACGTCGACCCTCTACTAAAAAAGGAGGTACTTACCATGGGAAACCCGTTGTTTTTCTCCAAAAATACCCTTAAAACGTGGTGAAAACCCAGGTGCTTCCAAAAAAATACCCTTGTATGTGGAGTAGGGGGTACTCTCGCGGCGTCGCAAAACCCCCCGCTTCGCCGATTCGCGCGCCAGGCTGGGCTCGGTGTCCCGCAAGCCGGTGCTCCGGCGGGCAGCCACGGTGCCCGCGGAGGTGAAGCATGCCGAATTCGAGGCCGCTAATAGGAGAGCGAGGGTTTAATGTTAACCCCGGATGAAGCAGAACCCCTGGTTGTTCAAAGTGACAGACAGTCACAACCATGCGGATTCAACTGTTCAAATGTAGTTTCTTACTTGGGGTGTGCCCCATTTGACAGGACCCTCTGCTTTCTGGGAATCCACCCGTGAGGGAGTCCACCGTCCATTTTGGAGCGGGCCTGGCTGAAAGTGGAGAGCTTGGCTATTTCGCGGCGACCTCTGGAGGCATATCGAGCTCACCATGAAAGGTCTCTGATTTCTAGTTTCGGAATTTCCCCCAAACTGTGCAGTTTTCATGCCCGTACCAAGAAAAGTGCCGTACAGCTGCTATTGGCTTGGATCTTCAGACTTTAACTTTTTGGTTGCAATCAAGTTGGGTTTTCCACTAAACCCCCAAAAAGTGAAAACACTTTTTGCAGGGGGGTCTCGCCAGCAGCCAAGTTGCCTGAATTCACTGGGGCTTCGCACCGATAATATGGCTTCAGAATGAGGTTTGGCGACCAGAAGTTTGGCTTGTTGCCCCTGGAGAGAAGCATTTGGAAGAATGTGGGCCGCCCGCATCTGCGCAGGTGCCTTTTGCAGAGGAGCTGAGGAGCGACGAGGAGTGCGTGGCGCCGGAGGAGTCAAGCCCCACCTCGCCGGTGACTGCAGCCATCAACAGGCAGACGTTTGGGTAGGGAGGTGTCTTTAGGGAAGCAATCAAGCAATCAATCAATCAAGCAAGCAAGCAAGCAATTAACCAATCAATCAAGCAAGCAAGCAATCAAAAAATCAATCAATGAATGAATCAATGAATCAATGAATCAATGAATCAATGAATCAATGAATCAATCAATCAATCAATCAATCAATCAATCAATCAATCAATCAATCAATCAATCAATCAATCAATCAATCAATCAATCAATCAATCAATCAATCAATCAAATCAATCAATCAATCAATCAATCAATCAATCAATCAATCAATCAATCAATCAATCAATGAATCAATGAATCAATGAATCAATGAATCAATGAATCAATGAATCAATGAATCAATGAATCAATGAATCAATGAATCAATGAATCAATGAATCAATGAATCAATGAATCAATCAATCAATCAATCAATCAATCAATCAAGCAATCACCAGAAGCAACTTGTGAGGTCCTGTTCATTTTCTAGCTGGTGATTGGAAGGGAGCCGTTGTGGAGCTGGGGGTAGGGAGCTGAGGAGCTACAGATCAGAGTTCGGTAAGGACATGGTGATGTTCAAGGGCATGTGGCAGGGGCAGAAGGGGTCAACAAACCCGCCTGCTGTGGCAAAAAAGCTTCCCCGAAGCGCCCAGGAAAAGCGAGGCCCAGAACACGAGAGTTGCTGAGGGGATGCTTTCCATAGAGGGTATAGTCGGGTCCAGGATGTGAGGGCCGAACGTGTGATGTTTGCTGCTCACCAGAGCTATGTCCGAGACACAGGAGTGCAAGTTCTGTGCGCCTAGCTTCTGGCGCGTTTTAGCTGCGTGACGGCCAATGGATGGAGGGTCAAACAAACACTGATTGCTGGCCTCGAGCCTCGGTTTGTTTGCACTGGGACGTGGGCAAGATGCTTGGCATCAGGTTACCCTGAGTGGGTTGGCTTGATTGTTGGTTATTGCTGGATTTTGTACAGGGGGAACGGGAAAGCACCGGAACACCTCCCAGAGTTCATGTTGACTTTAGCCACTTTTCCAGCCCCGAAAAGTGAGTAAACTTTACTAAAGTCCATGAACTCAGGACCATTTTGTTGGCAAAAAAAAGTTTGGTGACCTTTCTTCGGCCAGTCCGCTCGATTGATGGGGCACGTGACCCAAACCAAAGCCGGGCTCCGCTCTGCAGGCGTCGCGCCTCGCAGCCCAGCATCGCGGTGGTGCGCCGGGTGCCTTTGTCGCGGCCGTCCTCCGCTTGCGAGGTGACGCGCCAGGACGGAGATGAGGGTCTCGTAGGGGCGGGGGGGGACGGGGGGGAGAGGAGGGGGGGGAGGAAGGGAGGAGGGGGGGGGTTCCTAGTAGAGTACACTGGTTTCTTAGAGGTTCCCCTTTAATTAAACCAACATGAAAAGGCCCTCAAAAATAACTTAAGAGTACATTGGTTTCCCTTTAAGCCATTTTAGGCCAACATGAAAAGGGTACCCTTAGAAAGCACATACTGGTAAGCACACCCATGCGCAGGCATCAAAATCATAATGCTATCATTTGATGAAACTCTCCCTAAAACAACACGAAAACTAAGCACTGTTTTGGTGGGTCACTTTCGTCCAGGTTTGCATTTTGGTTTTCCATCACCCTCACACAGCTAGAATTGTCCAAAAGGAAATTAGTGTTCCAAAGGGTCCCGATCTCGTTTGGTTTCCCCCGTGTGGTTTCTGGCTTGGTTTCCTCCAAACAGAAGCACACAGACACAGTCTCCATTGTTTGTTCCTCCCATTTAGTTTCCTATAGTTTGCCTCTTGGCTTCCAAATCTTTCGGACCCTTTCCATAGTGGATTTCTTTCAGGGATTTTCGTCAACTGGTATGCCCAGCAGAAAAACTATCATTTTTGACCTGCAGGTGTCGCCTAAATCACAAAGGGCTCTCGTCCGTTGGGCAACCCAAGTATTCGTGCAGTTGGGCCCTCAAAGTGACCATGTTGAGAGGGTCTTCATTTTTTTGTTTGGGGGGTGAAAGGTACTGGTGGTGTGCCTTCAAGCTTCCCATTCGAAAGGATGTGTGACTAGCATGGGTTGCCCTCCAATTCACATGGAGCCTGACAGGGTTCCTTTAGAAGGAAAATGGTCCGAACCAGGACCTCCCGCAACGCGCCTTTCAGGATGAGGATGTGCGGCCGTCCTTTTCCAGGCCAGGGCTTCGCTGCTTTGGCCCCCTGTTCGGTTGCACCCGTTCCTGATTTTTGGTTGGGGTAGAACCCGCTTGTTTGGACTTTTTTGGGCCATCCACTCAGCCAGTGAGCCTTTCAGAACTACAAACCCACCGTTGATTTGTCTTGCAAAAGGTTTGAAATCAAAGCTGAAACCTCAAAGCGATTTTTTCCCACGATAAAAGCGCCAGCAGGCTTTGCCGGGCCATGCTACATTGACTCATGCCAATGGAGGTTATAGACAAGGTGTGAACATAGCCCAAACCGGGACTTTGAGCATCGTCCAGTAGTCCTTTTCCCACTCCGGAGAGGGGGATTGGTTTTGAGCAGGCATGTTCTTGCCTCATTTTCCTCAGTTCCCAAACTTTTTGACCCTGTGGTTTTCTCCCTTTTGGCAACCATTTTTAGTCAAGGCCCCAAAAGTTTAACCTGTTTATTCAGGTTTTTTGGGTAAGTGAGTTTCTGAGATTGTCAGAACACAATGAAGTCTTTTAAGTTTCACCAAAATCGAGAGGGGTTCCAAACATTGGTTGCAGTACCCAGGGGTTGGGCGGTCGTAAAGTTGGGTAGGTTGCCTTCTGAGAAACGGGGGGAAGAATTTAATGTGAGGTGACAAAGGCGTGGCCCAATCAAGAAAGTGGACAGGTGTTCGGAGGACTGGTGTTCAGAGTCAGCCAAATCCCTCCGAATCATGCACTGTGGTGATGGTTAAAAACTGGCATTTCCATGTCTGCAAGTGAGAAGGTTGCAGAACCGCTTTGCTTTTCTCAATGGAGCTTCGGTCTTGTAGGTCTGGCACGAAAGATGAGCTGGAGAAGGTCGGATTGAAAAAGGGGCGTGAATGTCCAAGCTTGACTTTCCCTGGAGTCCAGGACCCCGAAAGGGAGAGTCAAAAGGTTAGGGTCAACTTTTTACCTTGCATTCCTCGTGAGATCCCATGAGCCTTGCTTAAGTTGGGCACCTGGATGCCAAGTTAACAACTGCGTCACTTCCCCTTTTTGTTTTTAGAGGCAAGCTAAGAGGACGTTGACCCATGGTGCGTGTCCATTGCCTCAGGAGATGCGTCCAACTCTTCATGACCCATCCGAAGAAGGAACTCAAGTTGGATTTCCAAGAGGTGTTTTGTTCAAGTTGCAACTCGCCCAGTTCTTTTGCATCGGGCAACTCCAGCACAGTCAGCGCCCTTTGGCGCTTCCCAGTCGAGGAGCTTCGCGGGCTTTTGCGACAGCACTATAGGTTCAATACAGTTCAGCTGTCCGCAAGGGCGGCACTAAGATTGGAATGTTGGTTTGAATTCGGCTTCGACTGCTTCACTTCAGTTACATCCCTGCCTCGGCCAGGGATCCACGAACCGATCAGTTGTTGTTTCTCGCGATGTGGTTGTCCATGTTTCTCCGCGCAGGTTCCTAGGTTTACGCCAGGTTTGCTATTGTGTCGGTTCCCCTGGTTTTTGGTCAATGGGAAACCCCTTGACAAAACCAAACCGCCAAACCACCGGGCTCCAACCACCAGTCAGAGTCGCTTGTATTTGCTTAAGACTATGTGTTTCTTGTTTTGTTGGTTTTAAAGGGAATCTGTCCCTACTGGAAATATGGCGAACCCCTTGGCCACCCAAACCGCCAAACCACCAAACCAGGGCCCGGTGAGTGGAGGTCGCTAAACGTGTCGCGGCTACCCCTGAGCTGCCGTCAGGTGGATGTCCGGCTGCGGCCCCTGTCGCGGGAGGAGTCCTTCCAGCGCTCCGCCAGCGCCGTGAGCTTCTTCAAGGAGCTCCGCGTTTTGCTTATTGTGGTTTAGTGGTAAAATTTAAATTGCTAAAATTAGCTGCTAAAATTAGCTTTATTGAAATTGCTTTATTGAAATCCCCACTTATCTGCTAAAATTTGAATTTTGCTCCCCTGGCAACGTCAACCAAGAGTAGCAAAGGTGGTTTGGATTGGCTGGGGTTGAACCCCTGAGTGCTCAATAGAGGGTCGCCCTTTGACAGTTTGGATCGGTGGCTTGGGGGTTCGCGTTTTCTTGCTCTTGTCATTGTCGAGGGATGGGGAACCACTCCGGAAACTCCAAACCGACAATCCAGTTGGAAGGGGGAAATCCTCAAAAAGCGGGACTCAACGATACATCTAAATGTTGCTCACCCCTCGTGGAACCCAGGACGCATCAACCCCTTGTTATCCTTCTAGTGGGCTTCCCTTTAAACCGCCCTGAAAAAGATGTTGTGATAAAAAGAACAACCCCCCTGCTACTGTGGATGGACAAAATCCACTTATGACACCAGTTGGGAGGAATAACACCTCCATTTTTGTAGGGATGAACCATCCAACAGCGGATTTTGTCCATCTGTATATAGGATGAGATGGCCAATACTGAACCCATGGACCTCCAAGGGGCGATGGGGGAGCCATCAGCCGACGCAGGCAACGCCCCTTGGGTCAATGATATATCCACTTGGGTCCCATGTGGTTCTGAGGGGCTCTCAACTTGACTTTAGTGGTTTTCCTTTGGTGTCCCTACCCCATTTGCTGTCTCCCTGAGTTCCTGGACTTTCCATAAGATGTCACTTTCATGGACCCACTTGAAGGGCCGTTGCAAATGTCACTTTGTGTTGAACACGCAATTTGATCGGGCCAGATATCTTTGGCTGGTGTGAACATCGGGAGGGTTTAGGGCTCTTTAAAGCGATCTTTTGTCGGGAGGTTTTGTGGAACAGCTACACTTGGGCTGCACGAGGCATGGTCGCATGCTTGCTCATCGCCTGTCCCACGTGACAACATAACGTGCTCCAATTTTGTTTACAAAAGCTGCCGTTGGCCCATCTTGATTGCTTGTATGCCCGTTTTGCGATCAAACTCATTTTGAAAGGCACACCTTTTGATTCCAATCAGTTGGTAGCACCCTTTTACCCCTTTGAATCAAGGTCCGTTTTCAGCGCTGGTTGCAACTTGGAGAGTCCTTTTGGCACGCGAAGGATGACAAAAAGAAAGGCCATGCCAATCAGAGGATTGTCCCAATGAATTATTCCCCGACTAAGGGGAGAACCCTTTTGCTTCAGTGAGCAGCTGGGGCGTTTACATGAAGATTCTGGCCGGCATCCACTTACCATGGTCACCAGTTACGTTACACCTGGGGGTGTAGGGTTGGGACGACTACCGGTTCAATCAGGTTGACACCACTCATTGACCATCCTCCTTTGGCTTTCCCTCAACAGGATGCTTGTTTGGACAATATGTGCCCAACGTTTGTTTGCAGGGCTGTTCTCCCATCTTTGGAGTGCCGATCTCCGCTTTGAAAGGGTCGCTGGTGGCAACCTTGGGGAGTTGTATGCGTTGCTTTCGTGGGCGGAACAGCCCAGGCAACAAGTGCAAAAAGTAAACCATCCAGGGATGGGCACGTTACAAGGTTTGCCAGACCCCGATGCTACACCCAAAACGGCGACCACTGCCACTGGTCAAGTCAACCTTTTGCTTTCCTGTTACGAAGGCGCCCGAACCCGGGTCTTGGACGCAGATTCCCGCCAAAGCTGCAGTGTACCTTTCTTTGTTTGTTTGTTTCCACTTTAGATCTAAGTGCCAAAACAAAGCAGGACGTTCTGCTTTTTTGCGGCGACCATTTTGGTGGCAAACAACAAGTTCAGATTAGTTGTTGCCAATCCACGCAGGAAGCGAGATGCTGCAGAAGGACACCTAAAAGGAAACCACGTAATTTGCGCTGGGTTGGGGCTTTTTACAGTTGTTGCCCCAAAGTTCAGCCAGGCCAAACAAGTCAATGCACGGGCTGTGTTTATTTGAAGGTGCACTTTTCTTTTCGTCGGGTTCAATCAGAAACTCAAACATGTAAACCGACGCCATGTTGGGGGGGAACTGCTACTTCCCCCCCCCAAAAAAAAAAAAGAAGAGAAAATGCAGTCACGCCCATCTACGCAGCGCCCGGTGCAGGAGACTCAGGACATCAACCGCCGCAGCCGCTCCAAGCAGACGGCGCTTGGCTCGGCCCTGGCCGCCGCCCGCGAGAGGCGCCGCTCCAGCGAAGCGCCGGCGCTGGAAATGGAGCCGGAGCCCATAGCTCCGGAGCCGCAGGCCGGGACAGTCCGAAACACCCAATGAACATGGAACCTGACGTAGGCACGTGGTCCCTTTTAACGGAACCTGGTACAACCCAGGACCCCCTCTGCCAGGTAAAAAAAGTGATGTGTGTTGTTGTTTGTGTTTCGCGGTTTTTGGTGCTTTATGAAGCACGCAAAAAACAGGCGGCTCCCTGATGAAACCCGATGATTTGCAACGGTTCGTTGATTTAAAGAAAGCGCACCCAGTGTTTTGTAGAACCCAATGCAGGTTTCCAGTTTTTGCCAAGCTTGTTGCGGAAGAGGAAACAGAAGCCACTTGAAGATTAACTACTAAAGAATAAGTGGCCATTTTCGCTCTCAGCAGCAGGGATCAGAGTAAACATATTGAAAGGTGCTAAACGATACCTTTAGGTAATTCAGCCTAGTTATCACTTAAACGGGACAGTGACAAAAAGACCATACCGTGGATCAACAAAATCCTTCACCATCTACGAAACCCTGGAAACCATTGTTTGTTGGCATATCCAGAAGCATCATCACTCCAGGGTTTCTGAACGGTGGTGTGAAATGGATTTCGTCCATGCACAGTAGTTCACCTGTTTTTGGAAGACCTGTACTGGCAAAATGGACCTTGTCCCATGCACAGCGCGTGCGGTTTTGGCCAATCCCTGCAGGCGCCTCCGCCCCGGCGCCGCAGCTTTGCTGAGCAGTTTGGCTACGGTGCCACGTCATGGGAAGTGGGTCGAACGAAAGTCGAGGGGGGGGGGGGAACGCGAGATCAGCTTCCCCCAATTGGTGGGATTGAATTGGTGGCTTGGGGACCCGAACCGGGTAAATGGGAAGCTACCCTTAGCCACCAATGTCGAGTTAGGTGCTTTTAGGCCTTGCTCGGGTCTATCAGCCCTTGCTTGCAGAGCGTTCGCATCGACTCATATTATGCAAGGATTGAGTCAACCAGGAAGTGAGTTCTTGCTTAATCCGGGGTTAACATTACAGGGGATTGATCCCAACTGTCCCAGCCTAGTGTTCCCTCTTCAGGATGAAGAGGTGAGCGCAAACCTCGTGCGGGTCTGCGTTTACCACCCCACTTGCCCAGCAGCACCATGTTTTCCCGTTTTCCGTGTTGGTGTCTCTTTGCATATCCTCGGCAAACAGGGCGAGTTGGTTTTCCCATGACCACTTATCAATCAGCAGGCTGGCTCTCTAAAAATTGGAGGCATCCTTTGGGATGGGTTTGGAAAAATATTCCCTCGGCGGCTCAGGTCTCGGAAGCTGCTGAACGGTGGCACCAGGGGGGTCTTTTGTATATTGCTTAAGTAGGCATAGAGATGGGAATCAACTGTGTCACATCACTTGCCCAAAGTCGACCTCTTAACCTTTTCCACTGTTGGCAATCATGTTGAGTCATAAGCCATGACTATGCCCCCGCTAGCCTGCCAACCGGCTTGTCTTTTTTTGTTGGTCCCCCCGGAGTTTTGGCTGCTTGGTGCTTAAACGAAACCAAAAGGGCGCCGCCCATTGTTGAGGATCCCCGTATTTTGAGACAGACCCCAGCAGCTTCATATTTTGCATAAGTTCTATCACCAACCAAGTTGATCGGTTTTCTCCCGGCCGAGGTGTGATCCTCAAGACGCAGCTCCCCCCCAGACCCAGCGCAGTGCAGGTTCAGCAGAAGCCAAGGGCTGGCAGTGCGTTCATGAGAAGCTCGGCAAAGTAGGGGAGGGCCGGAGGTCGTATCTTCACCTTTAGGATCATTTCTTGACTGCTGGGTAACGGATCTTTAGACTTTAACCTTTTGGTTGAAATCAAGTTGGGTTTTCCACTAAACCCCTGAAAAGTGAAAAACTTTTTGCAGGGGGTCTCGCCAGCAACCAAGATTTGCTCAAGCTACCTGTAATATTGGTGGTTTGCTTGTAGAGGGGAAATGGGAAACCACCCCCTAACCAACCAAACCAGCAAACCACCAAACCAAACCACCAGTCAGAGTCGCTTGCACTTGCTTAAGAATATGTGTTTCTTGTTTTGTTGGTTTTAAAGGGAATCTGTCTCTACTGGATTGTGTTTCCCAGGCCGCTTAAGCAAAGCTACACGGTGTGTGTCGAAGCAAACGCCCAAGTCTCCAGCGACGAAAGCTCGTAACTCTACTGCTATATACTGCTATTGGGTGGATCTGTAGACTGTATTTTTTTGGATTCCCTCATAGTTCCTTTCAACCGGCAAGAAGCCAAAGTGAAGCCAGCAAACTGGCTCAATGAGACAGCGTCGCAGCAAAACGCACAACGGCTAAAAGGAGGCGGCAAAAAGTGTCATTTCTTGCTGGGGGATCTACAGCACCCCAGGTAAGGGCTCTTTGCTTCTCGGGGCCAACCTGCCAACTAGGCCCAAGTCGTCGGAACAGGAGCTCCCCGCGCGCCATCCCATCCGATGCCATTTGGCGAGGATTTTCAAGCAGCCTCCCAAATCAGGGCTCCTTCAAAGATTCATTCAGCAACCATTTGAAACATGTTGCTGTTTCAACACCAAAATAAAGTCGGGAACCACCATTTACAAGGCAATGTTCAGGCGTATAATGTAAGGATCCCTGCAAATGCTTGGTGAGACACCGTTTTGGGCAAGTGGACAATCATTTCCACCCAAATGTGGGCTTGAGCCACTTTTCAGGGAGGCCGTTGCACTCAAAGAGCGGAATGTTTTTTTTTTTTAGAGAACGAAAAGCACGAAAACAGAAGACATGTCGAGTTTGGTTGCTTTATTCCCCCATCTCAGGAAGTGCGTTGTCCATCAGCGGATCCTCCCAGTGACTGCCTCCGCCAGGTCTGCAAGCGGGGGACACCGACCTTCTGCAACGCCTGGCCGAGCGCCGCCGCCGAGCCGCCTTCGGGGCATGAGCTTCAAGTCCCAGCGGGGCCAAAAGGGGGAAAAAGACAAAAAGCCGCGAGCGCGGAAGACGCCTTTTTCGTTGCTGAGTCAAGACGCTCACGCAACAGAGAGAGTGAAAAAGTGGGGAGGCCACTCCCGCAGGCTAACAGCCGGAAGCGCTTTAGGTTTGGCCTTTGTAAACATCGCCTGGGGTGTACTTGGCTTGCTGTTCGGGTTGGACTTGGAATTGTTGCGGTTGGACAAAGTTTGGCTTGGAAGTGAACCGAGCCCGGCCAAATTGAACGGGATTTGATTCACAGAGAACCGTAGCCTGCAATAAACCAAAGACACTGCCAACGATCAGATACTTGGCCTATCTGAAACACTGCATCTTTAACTCTACTGAGTATGGTATTTTCCGTGTTAAGCCAACTGCCATGATTCATGGTTCATGATCAATGATAATGGTATCTTATGCAGTTCGTCCAACAGATTCCGCACATGCTGGATGAGCACAAACATTACCATACACTTGACATTTGCAACACGAGAAACAACGTGTTTGTTTGCACAGACAATGATTTGCTACTGGCAGTATGTTGCCGCGAGCTGCTGATATTTGACATATCTGCAGGTAGACGGTAGACCCACATTGAGACACGCTGTTGTTATGTTTGTGACATGCTAAGGCAAGCTTCAACCAATCACTGCGAATGACACTGCAACAAACAATGCATTTGGCTCATCTCAAGGATCTCCTCTCAGTTGCGCTCTGAAAGGTATGGCAGGTGCCACGATCCATGTGGAAGACCCTTTTGGGAGACCTTTGCCCCTTCCCCGCAAGGCTTTTCTCCTTGGGGGTCAGGGGGGTGCGGACTTGGCGCCAAGTTTGTGGTGCTTGGATGGCAGGTCAACAAATCAATGCAGAGAACCCTGAGACTGTGGAACTTGGCACCTTTGAGCAAACACGCGCTGGCACTTCCGGAGCCGTGTTGGGAACGATGTTTGCTTCCTGCAGTTAGGCAATGATGCTCTGGCGACGTGGTCAGACACTGATTTCACTCCTGTCGGGTTGCTTTCATTTGCATGCTTGCGGGGAACAATTGTGCGGTTTCGCTTGTTTCACCTGCGTGCACCTGTTTACTTCTGGCTCAGCCACGTTTTCACAGCCAACAGCGCTCAGTTCGATGCGATGTTCGGGACCCGCTTAGTGGTACTTCTCGTGACTCTGGGCTGCGGCCTCGCAGCAGATGGCGCGTTGGGAGATACGGCCTTGACTCAAGATGACGAGTGCCAGACTTCGGATGACGCTTTCTTCGCGTTAGGGGGGGGTGTTTGGCTAGGTCCCTCAGCTAGGTGCCCTCCTCCCTGTTACCGTTTCTTTTTTGGGGGAGGGTTCCCCTGCTAAAATAGACATAAAAAAAAGTTGGTACCAATTATTCTAATCTCTCTACTGGAGGACCTAGTTGGTGTTTGATCTTTTCGAATGTCTCAAACAAACACATCGGCTCTTCTTCATGTGGGTCACCAGACTCGTGCGCCGAGGCTTCGCAGTGCTCCGCGAACTTCCTCCAAGTGCAGAAGGCCCCGGAAGAGGTTGAGGAGCTGAATCTCAGTTGTTCAGTGGCACCCTTTTTCCCTTTTTTTGGGTGGCTGCCCCACTAAAAATGGTCTTCCCAAAAAAGGATTCCCTTTTTTCCAGGGTCACTGAACAACTGAGGAATTTGTCTTCATCCTACCACTACACCCACATCGTGACACTCTACCATCAGACCAGCGAGAGCGCTGGCAAGAGCATTTTGAAGAGTGGGTTCCGACCCGGGCACTTGGGATGGTGCGGCGCTGGGATTTACTTCGCGCTTTCTCCCCAGGCGACCTCGGGCAAGATCAAGGGTCCGGACTCCCACGCGGGGTATATGATTGCCGCCAGGACTCAACAGATAGGATTTCTAGAGGTTTTCCGTTGGCGCGAAGAAACATGTGAATTACCCTGTTGCCATGTTAGTTGGTGGGAGGCTAGATGTTTTTTTTGCCAATTCAAAGTGTCTACGGCAAATCCAAGGAAGCAAAAGTCAACGTGGGGAAATCGAAGCGGATGTCGTGGCATTGCACCACCAGCGCGTCGTGCAATCATCATCCCTTCGCGAAGTGCCAAGACAGGGAAAACCGCGGAAGCTGGCTTAAGAGCAGCCTGGCACAAAGAAAAGGTTTCTCAGCAGTGCCCTGCTCTACCAACTTTTTTTTGGGGAGGGTGCCCCTACTAAAATAGACTACATGAAAAAGGGTACCCTTATTCTAACCTCTCTACTGGAGGACCTAAACATCATGCAGTTCGCACCTCTTTTTTTGGCTTCCCTGTTGATTTGGGGAAAAAGGCAAAACCCCGAAGCGATCAGAGTAGGTTTGAAGAGGAGGAAGGTAAAACAAGCTTCCCCTTCAGTTTGTCAAAATGGTTGGCTGCTTTTGATCTCCGCTTAAACTAACCCCAAAAAGGTACCGTCAAATGTGACACACACACACACACATGCACGCACGTATGCACGCACGTATGCACGCACGCACGCGCAGGGTGCAGTTGTCAAAATACCCTATAAAAAGGACCTTTGTGCGTTGAGTCAACTACTGCAATTCTACAAGCCGCAATGTTCCATCGATGTAGGAAGCTGACCAGCGCCAATCAGTATTGGCTTGTTTTGTTCTGAGGCAGAGTTGTGCTCCATGACCTCTGCTTTTCATACAATCCATCGCATCAGTTTACAAAAATGGATCTGAGGACAAGGCTATGACTCCATTTACTATCAGCCAGATCCATACGGTCCGGAGTATGTCATCTACAATCCTGATCTAGTAGTGTCCATGAAAGGCTACAGGTATCACCGATGATTTGTCGTAGGCCTTGCCTGCGGATGTGGATGTCAACTTGATGTTCATGTTCCAGGTTTCCTTTATAACCCTCGCACACCGGGTGGAGGGTCGTTTGTCTTGGGGAATCAAAGAAACACGCCGCCCACATCACTTCCAACGACTTAGCCTTCAAAGTAAGGCAAAGTCCTCACAAGAACGACATTGAACCAGAAAAAGACCGCTCGCTTCACGGAATGTCAGACTCTGGGCCCTCGCGTATTTTATTGAATTTAGTTGATGTTTCTGTGAAACACTATCGCGAAAGCTGGCCTCGAAGGGCTCTGCTTGAGATGCGTAGGGGGGAGTTGGTGAATTCATCGGGGTGTGGATGCATTTGGTTTTATCAGCGGCGAGCTCGATTGTGGCCCTGTCTGGGCCCGGACGCAATGTCTTGCCCTTTGTTTAGCTATGCCGTTCTTGATACTTTGGCACTTCTGACTAGCGCCATTAATATGTGGTTTGTCTTTTTACACTTAATTATGTTGAGGAATTATGGTGTTATAGGCACGCGGCATGCGAATATTATATAGAATTATTCCAAAAAGAACGTCCAAATTGATGTTGGGCATGAAGCTCAGGCCCTACAGCATGTCATGCGATTCTTGCCTCGTGACGCTCCTGGTCTTCAGGATCCGAGAATGGAGAATCAACAAGCGACCTTGTTGGCAAGTATTTACTCCAAGGTGACTCGCTTCTTGATGGAGCAAGCGGATGTAGTGGGACAAGCGCGGTTGCGCACTTTTGCTGCCTCAGGAGCAGATGGTTGGCTTAGGGCACGCCCCGCTCTAGCTCAGGATTTGTTGCTCACCAACGCTGCATTTCTGAAATATTGTTTCTATGCGGCTGGGAGTTCCATGTTTTGAGCAGGGTGATGCTTGTTCTTTTTGCCACCAAAATTTGGATGCTTTCGGACACCATGTTTTCCATTGCATGGGACATGGGCACAAACAGGCCACGCATCATTTTGAAGAACGCTATATTTTATTTAGCCTTGCAGGCTGGCGCACGACCCTCGTCGGAGCCTATGAACCTTTTGCCCACTGACCCCCGGATAAGACCTGCGGATGTTCTGGTGATGGAAGCCCCACAAATCCTTCAATCTTCTCGGCGTCGTTTTGCGCGGGTGGCCCTGGATGTAGCGGTGACGTCTCCTTTGAAATCTCGTCTCTTGGGAGCGGCAGCGCAGGAATCACCCGAACATAAACGCACTTATGATGATTTACGGAATCGCTACGAGCCTCTGGTTTGGGAAAGTACGGGTTCGATTCCTGGTTCGATTCCTTGTTTGCATGCTGGATGAAAAACATGCTCTGAGATTACATGAACCCAATTTAAAATCCGAATTACTATTTTTTTGAATTACGAGGACATTATATTTTTGGATCGATTTTGTTTTGTGTTTGATTTGGATTTTGTTTTTGGAACGGGGATGCAATTTTCGTGCTTAAAATGATATTGGATCAAAGATGGATAAGAATTCATTGTTTAATTCTATTTTGTTGTTGGCGTGCTTGAATATCTCTGAATTGTTGATTATTTTTTAGGTTATTGGATGGGTATTACGATATTTTTGAGGAAATTATTGTGTTTATTGATATAAAATATGATTTATTTGCACGAGTTTGTGTGGTATGATTTGGTTTTTGTGTTTTATATATTTTGGATTATTCTTGACGATTTGGATTTTATTTGTTGGGAAGTTATATTCCGTATTTTTTTATATAAATTTGTATACATACATTTGAAATATAATAATACATTTAATTTTTGAAGAAATAAAATCGATTTATGTATAATTCGTATTTAGATGAAATATATATGTTGGATTGGGAAAATATGTTGAATTTATTTTTGGATGTAATTTATTTATTCGAAAAGATATATTTAGATTTTGTAGAACATTATGATTTGTTTTCGTTGTATATAATAAGTATGGTTTTGTTTTTTTAGATTTAATATTTATATTTAAAAATGATATAGAACATTATTAAAATTAATTATATTATATATATAAAGATTATTAAAAATAATTTAAATATTCGCGGTGATTATGGTGAGTTATATTGAAATTGATTTTGAATAAAGATTATGATTTAAAATTTAATCGGGCTTAAAATCTTATTCGAATTCGGAAAAATAAAATTATTTATATTCCTCGTAAAATGTTGTTTAGTTGTGTTATAAGGAATTTTGAAAAATAAAGAATGTGACTTAAAGGGGGGTTTTATTGCACAATTTAAATATATTTTTCGGAATTGGAGATATTGAAATATAATTTAATTATATTATAAATATATAAATATATTGGTTAATTCAATGAAAAAAAATATATATATTTCATTTATGGAATATTCGATAATTTTTAAAAAATATAGATATTGATATTATTTGAAAATTTAAATTGTGTATTTTGTAAAATAATGAATTAAATTAATATTATATTTTATTTTAAATATTATAATTTAAATATATTTTTTTAACCATAATATATATATATATATCTATTCTTTAAATTATAATATATAGTTTAAAGATAATAATGAATATTATAAATATTAAAAACAAATTATGGCATAATAAAATTGTTATTTATTTAATTAAATATAGAAATATATATGTTTGGATATAATTATTGATTTAATATTTGGATTATTATTATATATTTGATTTTAATATTTGTTTGATAGATTTAGGTTTTATTTTGTTATAGAGGAATTAAATCGGGTATATAGAGATTTCACAAAATAAGGGCAAAGGATTCGAAAAGGAAGGGCAAAGGTCTTGAAAAATTAGGGGTGATCATTTCGGGCAATTTCTGGCAAATATATATATTCGAAGGAATATATTATTTTATTAAATATCTATAATATATATTTATAAATATTTCAGTTGAAGGATTTCGAGGGATAATTAAAACCAAAAATTATCCTTTCTAGAAATTTAATTATATTCTTCTAGCCATCTTGTTTGGGACGCTCTTTAATTTGAAGCCCCCCTTCATAAATATTTATTTCAGAAATTGGAACGAAACTAATAATAAGATCTGTACATGTTTGATTATGTTAGCAAAATGTTGTGATGCATTTTGCCCAGCGAAATTATTCAGAACACAAATTAAATTATGCACAACATGAATAATCCATAGAAAGGCTTCAAAGAAGCATGGAAAGACCTCAAATTCAAAAAGACATGAACAGATCTCAAAAAAAGCATGCGCATAATGCCAAAAAACGAGGACAATATAAAAAACCCGTACCATGAGAAAAAAACAAACACCGAATTATGCCGACATCTCCAAACGAAAATTCCGTTTAATTATTGTCTTAGAGCAAAGCAATACGAAATAAAGATATCAAATATCAAAGAAATATAAAATAATATAAATTATTATTATAAAGTATATATTATATATAATCAGCAAAATCAATGCTTTTTGGACCAAGAATAAAGAATCAAGAACCTTGCAAACAAAAATCACTTACCATAAATATTATCGAATATAAAAAAACATCATTAAATCAAAACTATCTTTCCAAACATCTCCTTTAAATACAATCCATCTTTAAAAATTCAACATTATATATATTTACATTTAATAAAATTTAATCTATTTAAAATAATAATTTCAACATAGCAAATTAATTTTAAAAATAATATATTTAATTTAATTTATATATTTTAATATTCGATTTTTTAATATATTAATTCATATAATTATATATAACACAATTAATATTATTATTATTTTATAAATCAATTATAATATTCAATTCACTATTATTCAAATATTATATCGATTAATATTATACTAAATAATACTTAATACAAAACCAAATTATTAATCTAAATTTCCAACATACTTATTTAAATTATATTTAAATCCAAATTCAAAAACCAATCTTTACTATATTAAATTTCAAAAAACATTACACTTTAAGAATTAAAATTACACATTTTTTGCTATCAACCATTTTTATTTTTATTTTTTTTTATACATTCTTCAATTACCATTATCTCATTTTTATATAATTGTAGTATATAATTTATTTCTTTATAATTTAATTTAACATTCAATACATATATATATATATAATTCTGAACATATAAAATAGCCAATTTAATAAACAAATATACAAGTAGAGATTGTTTCTTGACTTTTTTTCAGGGCTATTTTGTTGAGCTGCCGACATGCCTTTATGCCGGTTCGTGCTGGAAGGTCAGCACGGCTGGCTGGGAGGAAGTAAGCTCGGCAACTACCGGCCTCGTTCCAAGTAGGTGGCCAGCAAGAGGGGCCCTCGTTACGGGTGCTTTTGCGGGATGACTTTACATCGGTCGCTGAATTTATTGGAACGTTGAGATTTCCTGGTTTAATTGAAATGGCCGTGGGTCAACACCCAATGGTACCATTTTGGGGTAAGCGCACCACCAATTTTAGAACCTATTTTAGTGGGGATTGGGATGTTCACTGGGGGTACGGGGTCTCGTCCCACAACTAAATGCCAACCAAGGAAACTAATGACCGCTGCTTTGCGGTCCCATGATTTCCACACCGTGTTACTATGATTTTCTCAGACGAGCTGCGCCCCATTTGGTTCAAGGTCAATGTGGGTCCCCCAAAAGGCTTCGAGGAATCGGGTCTTGGATCTTGCCCACCTCAGAAGGAAATGCATGTTTCTCCTTTCTGCTGGGTGTGTGCTTTTCTGTTTTGGGACGATACCTTTGCAGGTTGGCTATAAGGAAACCAAATGGAAAACAAATTTGGGGGTCCAAATCCCAATATGACACACAGTTTTCCCACAATTCCATGATTTCGTGCTTTTGGATTGCGTGGCACGTCCTGCAATCAGCCCAATCGCAAGCTCCAGACATCTAGGTTTACTTGAAACCAGGGGAAGCCTAAGAAGGATCTCCTAAAGGACAGAAAATTATTTTGGAATAGCTGAGGGAGAACCAGCGTAAAGGCGGGCAATTTCATTTCCTTGCAGGGAAAGGTTTGGCGTGGTCTCTGAAAAATCAGATGTCATCTAGGCATTGGGTAGTGGCTGCCAAGCGGCCATTGAGCGCAGCAGAAAGGTTCGTACCATGCCATGGGCCTTGACACCTGTTTCTGCTGCGAGCCTTTCGGTGAAACCTCCACCTTGCCCGAGCTGTCCACATGGCTTTGTCAAGTTG